CCATTTAATATGATACAGTATTTCCTCACCTGTAACTGTAAATTCTGTAACTTAATTTGTCTAATGACGGGTGCAAAATATATAAACAACCAACCAGACTCAAGACCAACTAGAATCAATGCCCTACACACATAGTAAGCATTTCAAATTGTTAAGTGCATGAAGCAGTAATACAGTAATAAAACCAAAGGTGAAGGACCACTTTAAAGAGGGCCAAGGAACAGAAAAGGATTTTTAAAAAGGGACAGAAATTTTCAAAAATTTAGGACCATAAAATGGGTAAATGAGAAGCTGATACTGGAGTGCTTACTTTGCTGACTTTTTAAAAATGTAGCAAGAAATAATAATCAGAGATTAAATTATCACAGCAGAAAGTTCTCTGCTTCTTTGGATTGCTTTCTAATTCAGCCTGACCAGATGACTTTGCATCCACCCTAGTTTTGCAAAGCACACCTGCCCTTAAAATGAATGCATCAATAAATTCATCCTTTGATCTCTTATCACATGGTGTTTCAAAACATCAGAGTCTGAAGCTGTGTCTTGAATAGTGGCCAAACCTCAAAAAACACAACTCTGAGTTTGGTCCTGAGCCCATAAAATCTGAAGACTTGCAATCTCAGCCACAAGTCTTTTTTTTTTTTTTTTAACTTCATAAAAATATGCAGAAGTGGTTCCTTTCTGTCAGCAATTTTAAGGTTTAAAGGATTAGATTAAAAATTTATGGCTATTAAGTAATAAGATTTCCTTTTTAAACAATTTTAACTCAAAGGTCTGCCTCCTAACTAGCCCTTATTCACATAATAGTAGGATCCTCTAGTACTTTCCCCACCCTGATGGGCCACTTTGCTCTGGATTCCTGAAGGAGAAATGGATTTGTCACACAGATTCCCAAGGCAGTTTCTGCTACCCAATCTAAGCCACTGCCATGGCCACCATAACTGCTGTCAGCTCTGGATCCTAAACCCCTGCTCCAAGCTCCTCTCAAGCCTGTTCATGGTCTTGCCTCCTGCAACCAGTTATTTCCTCAACATTCTGTTTATCCCAAGTGTAGAAAACTGCCCCTTCTCCTTCACTAACATATACTATTAGTACATAGTTCTTTTATCAAAGGTTTAAGGGTAACAAAGAGTAATTATAGTACAGTGCAGAAACAATCTCAAATTGAATTCTACGTATTATTATTAAAGGCTTATCAGTATTCCTCTTTTTAAAAAAGATTTATTTATTCATTTAAGAGAGAGAGAGAGCTTGAGTAGGGGGAGGGGCAGAGGGAGAGCGAGATAAGCAGACTCCCTGCTGAGCAGGGAGCCAGACTCAGGGCTCCATCCCAGGACCCTGAGATCATGACCTGAGCCAAAATCAAGAGTCTGAAGCTCAACCAACTAAGCCACCTATGCGCCCTGGTTCGTCAGCATTCCTGATCATCTTTCTCCTTAAGCCCCTTCCTCTGTCATGGTTCTGGAGTCTCTTTCCCTCACTCCAAAACTTTCTCCTATTTTTCTTCTATTTCCTACTCCTACTGATCTTAGCCAGAGAGGGCATTTCTCAAATTTCTGTTACTTTGTTCTGCAAAGGGAATCTAAGCTCTTCTCTTTCAGTCTTTCTCTTCCAGACACTGCTTAGAGACCTAACCTCTATGACTAACAAAAAAAACCCATCTAGGCATCTTCTAAATAAAAATTCATTTTTCTCTGTAAGGAATACTCCATCCTTTTAGGTTATCTGGCAAAAGCCACAGCCCAACCCTAAATAATAATTTTTTCTTCCTGTAATAAACATATACCAGAAATTTTAGTCAAATAACTGTTGTACTCTCCAACAAACCCCCAGGAGTGGCTATTCACTTACTAGAATGATTATTATCACTATTGAATTATCTTCTAAACAATTTACTAATTCCTCAAGAAAAGTGGCTTATTGCTGTGTTCAGAACATCTTCCTTTGGTCTAATTTCCTTACCTCTGCTTCAATCTCTCATTCTCATGCCTACATTCATTCATTCATTCATTCATTCAACCAACCAACCAGTGTACATGGCACTAGGTGTGGGAAACGGGATCCTAGTACTCAAGATACTTCCAATTCAGAAGGGGCTGTACCAGTTCTGCCTATGAACCAAGACATGAAGAGGGCAGAGTTCTGTGTGATTAGACTGAACTCTAAAGTTAGGACAAATTTTATCAAGTTGTCACTATCTTATATGGATACTCTAGGCTTGAGATGGAAAGTTGCTGCTTGCAGGCTAACCATTAGGACCTCCAGTCCATAGAGACATATAGCACATTTCTGCAAGTAGGCTAATAATGCTAATAATGCTGCCTCTTTTCTGAAAATATTGTATATAGCCAATGGAATTGAAGTTTCCTCAACTTTAACTGCTTTCCATTTATTCATTCAACTAAGAAGTATTTATAAGGGTCTATTTTTTATGGGCTTGAGAAGGACAGCCACATCTACGAATATCACATTCATTTATAACTATGTTCTAGGCATCATGTTATTATCAATCCAATGAACAAAGTCAAGAACTGTCTGGTCAATTATACTTCAATAAAGTTGAAGAAAAAAAAAAAAGAACTGTCTGTTCTTTTATTACCACAATAACAGATCTTCATAATGATAGTTTGAGTCAATAGTAAAAAATTATATCTAGAATATTATTTTGGAGAGGGGCAAGTATATAATGTATTTTATAGAGAAAATGTAAAGTAATCCACAAAAGTAATGTATTTGTCTTTCTGCATTTGAAGAATTAATCTTTAGTTACATAGAAAATGAGAATATTCAGAAAGATACTTCTTTCCCCAAGAATTCTAGAGAGTAGAAGTTCACTCTACTTGATAACACATAAGTCAACTTTTAGGCAATTGAATGTCTTAATTCAAAAATAATCTTTAAAGTGAATTTCCTGTCTAAATTTATTTATTTTCAGGATCCATGTAAAATAAGGGAAACTTGCATAAGTATTTCTTATTGTTCCTCTTTTGTTATTTAAGCCAATGCTAAGCAAAGTTGTAAGGTACCCAAAGTCTGTCTTGATATACTCCTATCTCCCTAATTCTTGGATAGCACCTTGGACGTACACTACTCTGTGGCTGCTCAAGACTTCCCTAGTTCACCGGACCCGATGACATCTCATGCCTAACTCATTCTTCAAAATATAACCATCCTTGGTCATATTCCTTCCAGCATCCAACTGCAAATTGGGCTAATCTCATAAACCAACTCAAGCTAACATATTAATTAATGATTATAATAGCTTAATACATTTCTGCTTTCAGGGAAATGTGCAAAACAATAGGAGATTTATAGAAATTTAATACCATAATTCAACAATAGGGAGTATTTTTCCCATTTATGGTCACCAACCAACTAAATCTAAAATTAAAGTAATAACAAAAAAAGTCAAGGGTTATAACAAAAATAAACCAGTTTACATCTAACTTTAGTTTGAGAAAGGGAGGAAAATGAGAATATACTACCTGACATTTGTGTATAGTCTACACATGTATTTACTGCTCTTATATAACATGTATTTTTTATTCAGTTTAATATTTAAAACAGTGCTGTAAGTTCATACTTTTCCTATTTTAGAGATGACAAAAGTTAGTCTCAAAGAGGTTACATTACTGACTATCAAAGAGCACAGCAGGGACTCTAAACAATACTAATCCCAAGTATTTTTCCACCATGCACAACTCCTTTAAGTGTTCGTATCTCATTTGAAATTGAATAAAAGAAACACGAAAATACACAGATGCAATGATAAAACTACACTTCATCCCACATATGGCCAGTTTAAAAAGTAAGGAATAAGATGGGGAGGGAGAGTGAGCGAGCCAGGTAAGAGGAAAAGTACGCAAAGAGATTACTGAGTAGAAATGTCAAAGATGGAAAAACAGGTCAAGAAGGGAAAGAAAGAAAGAAAAAGACAGGTGTGTCTGAAAGGAATGATGAGTTGAAGTCTGGACCCTCTGGGGTCCTCCACTTAGTGTTTGTGTCCAGCCAACACCTGGCTTCACATCTCCAGAGCAGTCTTGCTCTTCATTCCTCCTCCTTGGCTCCAGTCAGCCAAAAATCTTCCCCCATTTAAGCCGTCCAGAGAACTGTGGGCTAGTATTTCCACAGATCCCCAGAGCCCTGACCTTATCTTGGTCCAATCACTGTAATCACCATAATTAGTATTCCTTTCACTTCCCTGGTGATAAAACTAAAAGCTATTTCAGAAATCTGCATTTTCTTCCATCTCTGAGAATCAATGGAAACCCGAGCACTTAGTATGCCCGTAGTAACAAAACAACAAACAAATCAAAACCAAGACTTCTATCACCGAAACAGCCAATGATCAAACGTGCCTTACATACATGCTGTTTACTGAAAAACCACTGTTCTCAGATATACCATAAATAATAAAATGCCTATACCTCTTCACCGCTCATATTTCTAAGTTTTTGTTTTATTTAGTTCACTTTTATTCAGGTAAGTTAGGTACAACTGCTTTCAAAATGAGATAATAATCTTATATTGCTAGCATTCAACAAACTTCCGAAATCATTAGTAAATGAACAGGCCTGAGAGACACTGAGTTTGAATCCCAGCTTAGGCTCTTAGTATCTGAGTGACTGCACAAATTACTTAATAGCTTTGACCTTTGGGTTCTTCATCTATAAAATGAGGCTAATCATATAGTACCAATCACATAGGTAGTTTTAAGAAGGAAAGGAGATGAGTGCTTGGAACTGTAGGACATGTAGTAAGCACTCAATGTTATTTCTTATTATTACCATTATTATTATTAGCCACTAACCTTGCCACCTGAATGCAGGAAACTTAACCATGAGATACCTTTGTACTTTGTTAGAGAAGTTTGAGAAGTTTTAGAAAAATACTGGGTTTATATATAATAGATGAGCAGTAATATTAGAAACAAAGTCAAATATTTATGATCGTATACACTAAACTTGCAAAGCAGCGGCGTCATCCTTTTACAGAGGGTTTACCTCGAAGTCTATGAGCTGAAGGTCAGCAATCAGGGTCACCAGCAGCCCACTATTATAGAGCTCTTGTGCAAGCTGGGCCACAGCTTCTGTGGGGGGCTCCTTGTCATTTGTGCCGCACAGAATCTCTTTCATTGCTTGCAGTGATTTCGACACTTCCTCTGAAGCCTGGTGACCAAAAAATATGCTCACAGTGAAGAGGAATGAAAATTTTCAAGCCATAAACAAACAAAAAAACCCCACTTCTTGGATTCTGTCAATTTATGGTCAAAGAACCCTGTACAGTTACAAGCAAACAAAAAACTGTTTCACAGACATTGCTTTGTTTATTTTGGAAAATGTTGCAAAAATATATTTATAGAAAAAAATCTCTAGTATTTCTATTTGGTCAATATAATTGAAACACTCTTCTTTTATTTTTTTAAAAATTATTATGTTATGTTAATCACTATCCATTACATCATTAGTTTTTGATGTAGTGTTCCATGATTCATCGTTTGTGTATAACACCCAGTGCTCCATGCAGAACGTGCCCTCTTTAATACCCATCACCAGGCCAACCCATCCTCCCACCCCCTCCCCTCTAGAACCCTCAGTATGTTTTTCAGAGTCCATCGTCTCTCACGGTTCATCTGAAACACTCTTCCTTTAAAACATACTCAGACATAGTCTAACCAATCTAGTCATTAACTATAAATTTTACTTTTTTTTTTTTACTCTTAAAAATTAAAATGACTGTTTTAAAAGACTTGTCAGTAGCTACGGGTTTTTATTAAAAGCATTTGTTAAGGTTTTTCAACAAATTCCTATTACTCTGATTTTTTAATGGACTATTAATAAAACTGAATTGTCAAAACACACAATCAAATTATCAAAACCCATTAAACTTTGTTAATCCACTTGTCTCTCCCACATAGTCATCACCTTTTTTTGCTCTCTATGAAACTTAAAAACAATGACAAAAAACTTCTCTATATTGTAAAGAGTAATAGGGAAATCCACAGAAGTAGAAAGTAAATGAGTGGGTGCTCAGGCCTGGGGAGGGGACAATGAGGAATGACTGCTAACCAGTACAGGGTTTCTTTTGGGGGTGGTGAAACTATTCTTGAATTAGATATTGGTGATGGTTGTAGAACCCTGTGAGAATACTAAAAATCAATGAATTGTACACTTTATTTTTTTAATTTTTTTTTAACATATAATGTATTATTTGCTTCAGGGGTACGGGTGTGTGAATTGTACACTTTAAAGAGGCGAATTATATGGGATGGAATTTACTCAATAGATCTTTTTAAAATTAATACAGGAGAGCAAAAGAGAGCAGGCCAAAAAGTTAACAATGTAATCTGCTGAATATTTTTAAAGAAATACAGTTTTATTACTTTCAAGTATAGTTCTATAATCATTATAACTGAAGAAGGGAATAAAGAGAATAAGGCAAATTAAATACAAATAATTCATAGTAGCATGACACTACTTTAAAAAAATAATTTCCAGATACATTTATGATCTGACTGAAAAAATCCTTAATTTATTAAAGGTTGGAAGTTTCTTCAAGGGTGAGATTTATCCACAGAAGAGTACTTTAAATTATATGTAGTTAACAACAATTATAAAGCAAACATCTGTGTGACCATAACACAGGTCAAGAGCAGAATACTTTCAGGGTGCCTGGGTGGCTCAGTCGGTTAAGCGGCTGCCTTTGGCTCAATGCTGCTAATAGTGATGTATGGGAACAGATGGTAGCTACACTTGCAGTGAGCACAGCATAATGTATGAACTTAAGGAATCACTATGTTGTACACTTGAAACTGATGTAACACTGGGTGTCAACTCAAATAAAAAATTTTAAAAGATTACACATGATATGGTTCCATTTATATTCAGATTGCAGAAAGGAGAAACAATTTGTGGTTGCTAGAGCCTGAGCATGGGGTAAGACAGGCAAGCGGCTATAAAAGGGCAAGAGGAGGCATCTTTGTGGTGACGGAAATTTCCATATCTTGACTTTATCAATATCAGTATCCTGGTCATGTCACTGCGCTACAGCTTTGCAAGATATTGCCATCAGGGAAACTGGTACATGAGATCTCTCTGTATTATTTATTATTGGTTTTCTTGTTGGAGGCAGTTGGAGGAAGCTGGAGGAAGAAAGCAGGGGAAATGCCCCCTAGCTCTTTCGGGAGACTGTAGCCAGCAACTAGATGCAATGCTAATGAAAAGTCAGAACCTCAGACAGTAGCTTGTAAAGTACGCATCAAACCCCTTCCAGGGCAAGACTGGGAGATGGGTGTTTTTGTCACGCTTCCTCTGTGCTAGCCTGGGGGAGGTGGGGATAGTTGCAACAAGTGCTCTTGCACCCATGAACAACTGCTCCTTTGTTTGCTATAGTCCTGTGGGACTCATGAATGCAAGCCCTGTTAGCTTTCATACGTAGGTGATTTGGGGGACCATCCCTTAGTTGGCAGCCTTAAAACTTGGGGCACCAGATATGTGGTCCAAACCCTTTGCTCCTCAAAGAGAAGCTGGGCATTGGGGTTCCCCCCCAACTGAATGGTGCTATGCCAGGGGGTTGGGTTTTATGGCCAGTGTGTCTCAGCCTTTCCTACCCATTTTGATGCAGATATTTTCTCAGTTGCTCAATGAATAGGAGTCACTCAGCTAATTTCTAGATTTCTCTCAGAGGGAATTCCTGCATGTGTAACTGTACATTCTGTTTATCCATAGGAGGAGGGAAATTCAGGAGCCTCCTATGGTGCTATCTAAGTCCAGAGTCCCAGAATTTTTTTAAATGATAAAATTCAATGCTGGTTCTCATATATTTCTGGTGAGGATATAAAGCAATTTAATAATACCTGACTGATGTCCTAGAATCTCAAATTGGGAAATCTAGCTGAGAAAATAATCCCAAATGACAATCTTAAATACGGAAGAAAAGTTTCAGACACAGAGACTTTTTTTCCAAAGAGAGAATGAACATGCGTGTGTGAGCAGAGGAGGGACAGAGGGAGAAGGAGATTGAGAATGCTAAGCAGGCTCCAGGCCCAGCACAGAGCCTGATGTGGGTCTTGATCTCATGACCTTGAGACCATGATCTCAGCCAAAATCAAGAGTCAGATGCTTAACCGGCACAGAAATCTTTATCATAGTGGTGATAATACAGAGTTAGAAATAATCAGTATGTCCAGAATTAGGCATGGTTACATAAATTATAGTATATGTAACTGGCAGAAATAAGAACATCAAAATGTTGGCAATGATTAAATACAAGAAAAATCTATGGCTAGCCATTGCTTTCATTTTATTTATTCCATGGAGAGAAACAGAGAAGGGTAGAAATAAGGGAGAAAAAGAGAGAAGAACTCAGAAGAAAGGAAGGAAAGGGAGCCAGGGAGGAAGAAGAATTTTTTTTTTT